GAGAGCTTCAATTGCTTAAGATATGCTCTTATTTTTTTGTGTACAACACAGTGGGAAAATGTATAGATAGAATTAATATATGACAGTTTCCATGAAAAGAGCCTGAAATTCCTCATTTTTTTAACAAACAGTCAGTGAAAAGAGGTGCTTAACCTTTCAGAAAATGTTATTTATCAACCTTAGGAGGTTGAACTATTGTAAATTAGCTCTTTTATGTTCTAGTCATATTTTGCAGCATTAAACATTAAATAAACATAAAAATTAAGGGGCTAGTTCACCCAAAAATGAGAATTCTGTCATCACTCAAATCATAAGGGTGAATAACGATAACAAAATGTTCATTTGAGGGTGAACTGTTTAATTATTTAAATAATGTTTAAATATTTATATTAATTTAAATTAAATTAAATGAATTAAATTATATTTTTTAAACTCTCAGAATGGGTCACAGGGTTGCATATTTAGCCAGGATTTAGCTACTACTTTCTAGCAAGTTAAGTTTGGTTACATTTGTTTGTAGTTTAACTTATAATTCCCATTTATTTTTTCCTAGTTCCCAATCAGTTTTTTCTTACAATAACAGGGCTGAATGGTTGAGTTTGATGAATAAACAAATTGTGTAAAAAATGTAAACAATGGACTGATATTAATTATTTGTCTTAAAAATGCATCCGATAACAGGGTTGTAAAAAATGTGGGATACAGTGAAATATTACATTTTGGAAAGTTAATTAAAAATTATAATTTTTTTTTTACTACAATGAATGCAATTCAATGGATTACGCCAAACTATGGTATTTTTGCATGATTTTATGTATTCTCAAAACAAACACCACAGGATGTGTCCCTCAAATGCTTTAAAATAAAAAAAAGTCACAGAATACCAATTCGTGGAAAGTGCAATATGAAAATATACGCATGCAATATTAACATTAATATACAAAACACTTGATCCGTTTGAAAAGGGGATAGTTCACCCAAAAATGAAAATTGTTGTAATTTACTCACCTTCATGCCATTCCAAACCTGCATGAATATAAAAAAGATATTTTGAAGAATGTGGGTAACCAAACAGTTGACGGTAGCCATTGACTTTCATAGTATTTTTTTCCATACCATGAAAGTCAATGGCTACCGTCAACTGTTTAGTTACAACATTCTTCAAAATATCTTCTTTTCTGTTCAACAGATGAAGGAAACTCATACAGGTTTGGAACGACAAAATAGTAAATGATGACAGAATTTTCATTTTTGGGTCAACTATCCCTTTAAGACACCCCTTTGAAAGGAGGCAGTAAAAAGGCCAGATCTTATCGTATGTGTGAATGTGTGTATCTGATCTAGGTGTTGTCTCATGCTCACTCAGCAGAGCACCAGATGGCCTGTTTCTGAGCGCGTCCCAGCCCCGTGGCATCGCACGCTAATTCTTCCACTCATCTCTTCCTCATCTGACTGAGCACAGGGAAGCGCATGGCTCACGGTGCTAAGCTGATCTGTCTCCAGGGCAACAGCTATTTCTGCCCAGCCGTAACACTCAACACTAGCAGCACCCGACTGATGACGGGGCCTCTCTTTGATATCCCGTTCTCGCTCTCGCATCTGTACACTGCTGCTGAGTGGGTTGCCCATAGCTACAGGGTGTGGGTGGTGCTGGAAACTCATCTGGTAGCAATAAAGGACTTAATGCAATGAGTCATATCTATGCAAACACACATACGGAGAGCCAACCATACTATTTAAGGAACAGGGGCCCTACCTTTAGGATAACGGCTCCCGCTCTTACTACTCTCACACATACACACAGAACTCGCCATCAACATTTATTTTTTGCTTAGTTTTTTTGCACTTTGCTTAGTCAACAGATGAACTTAATGTGCAGATAATAGAAATCCAATGCATGACTTCAGCATTTTCAAAATAGATTAAATATGCTGTGCCTTTTTATAATATATGCCCAGGAATACACTGGAAAGTGAGCTGAACTGGCATTCTACAGAGATGTTGGTATCACTTTACAGTAAGCTTCGATTAGTTAACATTGGTTAATCCATAACAATAAACAATTTTACAGCATTTATTAATCTATCATAATTATTGTCAACTAATAGATTAAATATCTATTCTTAAAAAATTATTATTGCTATTATTACTATTTAATAGAGATTTTTTATTTTATATATTTTTCATTAATTTATACAATTTGAAACATAAATATTATATTAGTATATATAGAACTTAAAAATAACCTAGATTAATAAATGCTTTATTGTTCATTAGATCATGATATCTAATGAATTAACTAATGATGATAATTAATGACTTCAATCTAGTCAGAATAAATTAAATTATAGGGTAATGATAGGCGCTTGTTTTATAAATTCAAGTCTGTTCTAGCTATTCAAAATGTGTTTATTGACATTGATAAGCTATACATATAATATAATACCTCATATTGAGTTTCAGTAATCACGTACTGAAGCCAGAACACAAATTATCAAAACATTAACACGATGCATCTCTATGTAGGTTTCAGTATGAGTTGTTCAGTGATTAGTTTAATCCGTCCCAGACTGTGATGGAGTACATCCGAAATCTAAATAGAGCACACTAAATGAACTAATTAGTATACACAGCTCCACATCAAAGATTTAAAACCATAGAAGCTTACATAGGCCTACACAACACAAACTAAATGACAGCATGAATATTACTTTCATGTTTAAGCCTATATTACTCAAACCTTAAAGGGGTCCTATCACATTTCACAAGACTATTACAAAGTCTTGATTTTGTTTTGGGGGTGTACTAGAACAGGCTCTCATACTAGGTTGTTCGAAAAACACATTATTTTTCACATATTTTACATTATTACAACACCTCTCTCCCCAGTCTGGCATGAACGGCTCGAATAGTTCCTGTATCAAATGAAGGCCCGCCTTCTGAAATACGAAATGTGCTGTGA